ATCTTCTTATACTCAGGTAGGTATAAGTTTCATTATTATTTACCAATCCATAAAGTTTCTTTATGATACTTAGGTTCTCATACCCAACCACTGCCCAACCCTGTCTGCAGAAAAATACAACAATCTGATATTATAGACAAATTTATATATGCTGGAATGTATTAGGATAGAACCAGAGTTTAGAGACATCTGGCCTTCATTCATCTTGAATATATGTTTAAATTTATCTCTTTTGTTGCCCATGATAATTGTTCATTCTTAATATTAAATAGTGTAGCATTGTATAGCTACACGGCAAGTTTTATAATTTAGTTTATTTCATGTGTATATATGCTTGCCTACATATAGGTATGAAGAGCGCATGCATGCCTGTTGCCCATGGAAGCCAAGAGAGGATATTGAATCCCTTGGCACTGGAGTTAACAGTTGAAAACTGCCATGCTGGTTTTGGGAAATGTGTCTTTGCCTGTTGCCTGTTGCTGAGGTTGTTTTCAATTTCAGTGTCTTGTATATAAAGCTGTTGTGAACTGAAATAAATAAGTCTTTAAAAGAAAATATGTCCTCTTTCTCCAGGTTATATATTTGGGTTGTGATGGCCAGATGACAATTAACATATGAAGAAACAGAAAAAGATTTTTCCAAGTTATCATCCTGTTTTCCATGGCCACCAGCAGTGGGTATGGGAGAGTCATCCTCCACAAACTTGCCAGGTCTTTGTATGACAAGTCTTTATTTCTGAGTATTTTATGGGGTTGTCTAGAGTCCCCTCAGAGTCACCTGTTGATGGAGGAAGGTCATTGGCTAATAAAGGAACTGCCTTGGCCCATTTTATTGGTTAGAAGATAGGTGGGAGGAGTAAACAGAACAGAACGCTGGGAGGAAGAGGAAGTGAGCTCAGACTCCACAGCTCTCCTCTCGGGGGCAGAAGCCTCAGAGAGACGCCATGCCCCGCTCCTGGGCAGACACACGAGATGAAGCTCCGACCTAGAATCTTCCCGGTAAGACCGGTGCTCACAGATTATTAGAGATGGGTTGATCGGGATAACAGAATTAGCCAGTAAGGTCTAGGACTAAAGGGCCAAGCAGTGTTTAAATGAATACAGTTTCCGTGTAATTATTTTGGATAAAGCTAGCCGTGGGGGCGGCCGGGTGCCGGGGACGCAGCCCCGCCGCCCTTATTACTACAACCTGTCTCTCTTCCCTAAGTGTTAAGGATGTTGCTGCTGTATGTTTCTCTGAGTGGAGCATCTACTCACCCTTCTGGTCAAGTTTTATTTCCTGAATTGTCTATTTTCTTAGTGTCTCCTTTAGAAGCTTTCTGTATTCTGGATAAAAGAAGACTGTCATCTGATATACAATTTCCCACATTCATTTTCCCAGGTAAGAAAAATATGTTTCTATCATATATTTGGAAGAATAGATATTTTCTCACTTTATGGAATTCATAACACTCCAGTTCTTCATTTAATGAAAGGGGGTTTGCCATATCTAAGAAGTTTGTTTGTAATTCATGAACCTGAACATCCAATTGTATTCTGCTACAAGATTCATGTTTAGGTTGTAATTTGGACTTCTTTTAGGTTTATTTTCCCTATTTACTGAGGGTCTGCCTGTATGTCTGTGTGTGCCAAATACACGTTTGAGTGCAGATGCCCACTGAGACCAGAAGAGACTGTCAGTTCCCCTGGATCTGGAGTTACAGACATCTGTCACCCACCATATGGGTGCTGGAAACTGAAGTCAGGTCCTCTGCAATAGCAAAAGGCACTCTTAACTTTTGAGATGTCTCTCTAGTCCTGTGTAGATCATTTGTTCATTCTCGATTGACTTTTGTATCCTGCGATATACGATTGTCTATATTTATATTTGTGCATGGGGAGGTCTGCTTGTCCCAAAATAAGACAGAAAGACAGGGCATTGAAGGGGATATGAGAGGGAACACACAGCCCCTCACCCTGTAATCATTTTTACATTTTCCTGACATTCAAGAGACCTCAAGCCAACTGATAGAGCCAAAATTACCTGCAGATATGATGCAACTATTCCTAAAGACATCCCAAATAATGTTTAAAAATAACAACAAATAAACTAGAGTCTGAAGATAGGGTTCATTCTTTAATATCACTGGATGTCTTCCAGAGGATCCAGGGTTGATACCCAACACCTACCCGATGGTTCACAACTGTCTGTAACTCCAGTTCCGAGAGATCTCATAAAGTCTGGTACTGTCTGTGGGCATTAGGTACTCACGTGGTGCACAGACTTCCCTGTGGAAAAGCATTCAAAAGCAGAAAATAAAAAACGCAGTTATGCTTTCTTAGGGGCAGAATACTTGTAGCCTTGAGATGGATGATGATAGCACTCTATTCTATCGCCTAAGTCACATAATCACCTTACAATTTAATTTACTGAAAGAAACTTTAAAAGGAATAAGCACATTTAAAAGCATTGCTTTTTAGTTTCATTTTTTACTTTTTAATAACCTATTGAATATTTTTTTCCTAATGGAAAAATAGAACCCATTTAAAGAGTAAAAATATTCTTATAGTTAATTTAAAAACCTGAATATAGGCTTTAATGTAATTTAATCTTGAAATTTTCTGAATTACATTCTTTCAGCAATGTAACTTTAGAGCCATAAAAATCCTCCCATTTCTCCCTCTCCCACTGTACCTCCCTCCCTGCCCACCTCACATACCCTTTGCAATGACACCTAATCTCAAGTCTCTCTCCAGTCCACTCTCAGGCCATCATGCAGGAGCCATCCTTATTCTGTGTGAGCTTCTATCCACAGGATTAATAAGCTCACAACCTTTGCTTCATCCTGGCTGTTTCTGAAATTCTTTACTGCTTCCTAGATTCATCTTTACCAGGGTCAAGGTCATCAAAGCGACAGGGTTATCCTCAGGCTGCTGGTCACTGTGCTGGGCTGTACCTCCCTACCACCACCAAGAGTCCCAGAAATCCTCGGTGAAGAGCATATGCCTGCTTCACTGAAGTGTCTTTGAGTCTTTGCTAAAGGTGTCCCCTCACACATGTGTGACACTTCTGTCCCCTTCATATTCTTTTCTGTCTTATTGTCATTTCCAATCAGGCACGCTGTCTACATTTCTCTAGGTTTATAAGGAGTTTGGAAGTCAGGTGTTCATCCTCCAAGTTTGTTCCTTTATAAGGTTGTTTCAAGCTGGGGTTCTTCATATTCACTGTGAGTTTCAGGATAAGCCCATTAGTTTATGAAAAGTCTGTTAGAGTTCTGTTGGTATTGCACTGGATCTATAGGACTGTATGAGGAGAACAGACACCTGTATCTTCCATTGCATGAAGATGATTGTAGCGTGAGTTCTAATTGGTCTTAATAATAAAATCTGGAGTCAGATATTAAGTGGTTGGAGCTATAAGATCAGAACAGCAGAGCAGCCAGACACTAGATCTTTCCTCGACAAAATCCTCAGACCAAATGGAGCATCCTGTCTCTACAAGACCTCAGACTGACTGCCTGGATCTCCTATCTCCTCCCACCTTATATTCCTCTCTTTTCCCAGCCACATTCCTTTCATTCTCCATCTCCCTCGTGCTGGGATTAAAGGTGTGTGACACCAAAGCACTTTGATGAAAGATGTGAGTCACCACTGCCTGAATCTGTTTCTTTTTTAGACTGGATCAATCTAATGTAGACCAGGATGGCCTTGAACTCACAGAGTTCTGTTTCTTAAGTGTTGGGAAAGGTGAGTTCCAACACTGCCTGTCTTCTGTGGCTAACTAGTGGCTATCTGTACACACTGATTCTCAGGCAAGCTTTATTGTCATGGAAGAAACAAAATATCGCCACAGTCGATGAATCTATACATCTTTACTCTCAGCAATGAGTTGTCCCATTCAGTGTCTAGGCACTACAGAGAAGTGGGCAGGGTTTTCCTAATTATTTCATATTTCCTGATGCTATCTCCAGTGACAGGGATTTTAAATTACAGCCTCCACACATTCATTTCACTGTGGTCAGCTGTCTGTGTTAAATTTAGACAGAGTTATTGATGAATCTTTTAGGTTAAAATATTTAATTACATTCTCTATGATGAAAATGTCTTTGATGCAAACATATATTTGCTGTGTTTAAAATTCAGTACTTTGAAGTTGCAAGTGAATTATGAGAACAGAAACAAATGTCCAACACCCAGTTTGGGGGAAAATTTCTAAGGCAGCCACAGGTCAAAGGTTTGCCCCAATGGCATCTTTGGAATCATAGAGATAGTCCTTTACCTCCCAGCTAGCTCCATCAGGGAGGTGCTGAGATCACGGTGGAGAGAAAGAAGGGGATACATGTGAAGAGTTAGGTATGTATGTGTAACTCCAGAAAGGTTTGTATTATGAAGAATACTTAGGTAATTATTTTCAAAATATCTAATATTATTTTCCCCAACACAAAAAGGAAGAGGTTAGTACTCGTGTGTTTTCCCTCTTGTTTTCCCATCCAGTCATGCAGATTTTAGCAGTGTTGCTGTGGACTTGTACAGAGGGGGTGTTTTATGTATGGTTCTTTCCATGTTTATTATAACCATGACGCCTGCTAAGTGTTGCTCTGATACCTACTTCCCTGTGCAGTTACTAGTATACAAGCATTGCTTGTCTTTGAGTAAAGTTTCCCTTTTATCTTTTGTTTATTAATGGATTTACTCATGCGTTTGTGTCTACTCAGAAACACCCATTTCTTAAAGGAGTACTCCTTTGTCATCATTATATACTGTGATGCTTAAATTATCCCATAACATGCCCGTGGGAGTACATTCAAGAGGACCTGCTCTTCATTTGTTATCTGTCTAGAATTCTGGATTATCTGACCACCCCTGGGAAGAAAGCCAAAAGCAAATGCTTCTTGTCAGTGATACTTTGTGTCCTCTGCCTATCAATGTCAGGTCTCTTCTATGAGAAGAACAGCAGGACTGCAGAGAGAAGACGCAGAATGTTGACAAGAAGCTGACATGAGCCCTTGTTTCTAGTATGTGAGTCATCATTGCCACCAATGTGAGTGTGTGTGTGTGTGTGTGTGTGTGTGTGTGTGTGTGTGCGTGTGATGTGTACATGGCTGTGTATAAAGGGTCTGTGAAATGAACAAAGAAGAGGAAGATGTCACTGCACATCTTTGACTTGACTGGATGCAGACAGACTACTCCATCCTTATATTCAGTACAGTAGAGTGACAAGATCATGTGGGACTCACCAGGTGAGTCATTTCCTTTTCTCTTCCCATCTGTGTGACCAGCAGCTGGTCTGTGATGCCTTATAGGAACACATCCTGTTGAGCAGGTCGCAGCAAAGAGCAGCACACTGTGAAACAATGGCATTCATAGACTCCCCAGATGACTGAACCCTGTAGGGGTCCCTTTAAATGACCAGGACTGAAATGGAAGCAATCCCCATCAGACCATTTCCCCGAATGGGCCATGCATGACTGCATCACATTTGGAGGGATTGCTTATTAAGATGGTAGAAATCTGGATCCACAACAGACACTGAATCATGCTTATTAAAATGGTAGATATCTGGGTCCACAGCAGACACTGATTCAAACCCTGGGAAGTGGGGTGTGGCATAGCCACTTCTTTCTGATGGCTGTCCATGTTAAAACGTATTGCTAGTGTGTTTGATATTCTGTCTTCCAGGATATGAAGTCACAGACTGCTTAAGTCCATACCATGTTCTCTTGTTACTGCCTTAAATACCAGTGTGTTGCATGGCATATCAAATAGACAAATCAATTCCTTCGTGTACGTTTATCCAGATATTCACATAGTGGCCTCTTTAGTGAACACCTTGTTCCTGCACTGTGAAGACTAGCACGGGTCCTTGTATATCGTGTTAGATAGGCAAACTGTCAGTAAGCAGAAGAAATCAGTAATCACAGCAATTCCGTGTATTATTGGCGCTTTAAAGATCATAAAGGGGACAGGAAATAGTTGTGATGGGGATTGTCGTATGTGATGTTACCCCCAAAGGTTTCAGAAGTTAGCATGTGATCTGAGTCCTGAATGGCAAATAGAAGCAAGACCGTGCACAAACCAAGTTGTGGGCGTGCTTGCTTCCATGGAGAACAGTGGATCTAAGAGCAGAGAACAAGGCTAGTTGCCAGAACCTTGAAGACAACGTGGACACTGCTTGGGGATAGGACAGAAAGGAAAATGTTGTCATTGTCAGCTGTGTATGACATTTGGATTATATGATCTGTGTGGAAGGTGAGTTATGGAATTGTCATGATATGTTTCCTTTTGGTACAAGGTGACTTGGCACTGAACAGAGAAAGGCCTGGGGAGGGCGGGATGAGGTAGTGTGTGGAGACAGTGGAGATGGTTCCAAAGACAGGGTAGGGATGGAGGTATGAAAGAGGGATGAAGCCATGCTGCAGTGATCAGCAGGAGAGCTGCCCTGTGCAGCCTTGTCTGGGAGAGGGCAGATAGCACCTGGATGCGCTGTGCATTTTCCTTGTGGAGACATTGCTCTAACATCTCTGGATTTGTCTGACCACATGGAGACACAGTGCTTCCATTTACTGACATCAGTTATTCCACGTGTATTGACACAGGATAGTTTGAATACCCAAACTAGTCATTGTAAAACTTAACAATTTGATAACGAGTTGCTGATGAATAATTTTCAGATGTAAAGTTTTCTAAGTACAGCTAACCGTAGCATAATTTCCAACAGAATAAGAATCTAACATTTGTCTCTTAAAAAGTGAACCCAAAATTCAGTGTATTTTTGAAAATGGCTGTTCTACAGCATGTACTGCTCTTGGCAGGTTTACAGATGAAGGAAGTGAGTAGGTTTTAGGCAAAGTTGAAGTGAAATCAGTCTCTAAATTCTGCAGCAACTGTTTGTCCCTATTTCTCCAGAAGAAGACTGCCTTTAGAAATGCTTATTTTTGACAGCTGGGCATGGAGCAAACATTCACAAGACAGAGACAGTTGGATGTCTGAGTTCAAGGCCAGCCTGTAATTCCAATTGCATATATCAACATTAGTCTGTCACATATGCAGGAACTTGTGACTGGTATTTAAAGCAGGTATTATCACTAAAGACCCCCAAATTAGCACATGAGCAGTGTGATGCTCTCAATTCACAGAGTGGGAAGCACAGCTCAGAGCAGAGGGTCTCACTCTGTTTTCTCCTCACAGAAATTCCCAGCCTGTGTTTGGAAAATGGGTCCAGGACATCCTGGCTCAGGGAACCAAAGTTGCTGGGGCTAGGAAGGTCCCACATCTCTCTGACTCTAGAAAAGTGGTTCAACCTGTGACTTGACCCCTTCAGCAAACGTCTATCTCCAAAACTATTTCCATTGTGATTCTTACCTGTAACAACTTTACAGCGATGATGAAGCAACAGAAATAATTTTCTGGTTGGGATCACCACGCATGAGGGACTGTATTAAGAGTCACGTCACAGCATAGGAAGGCTGAGAACCATTGCTGTACAGACATCCAAATGCAGAATCCGGCTTCTCAGATATCTCTGGGATCCCTTCATCATTGTCCCCACACTCCTAGGGAGGCACAGCCCCACATCAGGACACATACACTCACATCTCCGTGCAAGGGAAATCCTGTTCTTCTTTCTCCGTCATTTCTATTTCCACACACTATGCTATATTTCCAAATTTTCTTTTTTTATGTCTTCAGCACTGAGCTTAAGGATGTGTCTGATTCTTTGACCAACCTTTTTCCTGTTTTGTGATTCTTCTGCAGGGTCTGGGTCATTGGCTGTGCACACACATCCACAGACAGTACAACAACAGCCTCTAGTCCCTTGTTGCTGACCTTTGGGAAGCTGGGCATGTAAGGTAGGTTTGCTGGCAGGAGACTTGCTCTCAGGAACAGGATGTCCTTGCCAGAGGCTGGACTCGAGGATGCTACAGCACTTAGATCTGCCCAGCATCTGACGGCCCGGTCCCAAGCTCTTCACAAATGTGGTGGGAGCACATTTGGGGATTTTTAAAAGTGGTCCCTAGACACTGCTATTGCTCCCCTGGCTGTGCACACATTCCCAGCTATATTCTTGATTTCTCTGGTAGCTGTTCAATGAGAATGCTATACCATGAAAAGAAATCACTGGTGAATTTAAAAAGCCACAGTATGGGGACTGGCGACATAGCTCTCGTGGCAGAATGATTGCCTAGAATGGAAATTGCTCTGTGTTCTTTGACCCTCTGGGCATGTTCACCCTCACCTGTAATACCAGCACTCAAGGCGTAGAGGGAGGAGGAAAGAGACAAGAGAGTCATTACTGTTTATGAGAGTATGGCTCCCAGCCCCCATGGCAGATAGCTCACAACTGCCTTTAACTCTAGCCCCATCAGGAGTCAATGCCTCTGCCAATCATGTGCATACCACAGACAGACAGACAGACATAATTAAAAGTATAACTAAAATCTAAACAAGAAAAAAAAGAAGCATCAACTCCAGGTCATTGACCAAGGGGAAAACACAGTGGAATTTAAAATATGAACATTATAAAGGCTAACGGAATCTAACAGTCTACAGTCTGGCAGGGGAGATGACTCAGTGGTTCAGAGTGCATTCTATTGTTGCTGAGGATCCAAGGTAGTTTCCAGCATCCATTTCCAACATCCTTGAAGGACCATACCTCAGCTCCAGGAAGGTATGACCTCTCCTGACCTTTGGAGGCATAGGAATTCATGTGTACATACACATAGGAATATACACAACGTAATTATTATTAAGTTATGTTCATTTTAAAATTATGTACAAATTAAAATAATTGTTGTGAAACAATGAAGAAAAATGGTCAAATGCCAGGCAGTAATGAGAACAGTTTTCATCAGCGTTAGGTGGCAAATGCGTGCACTTCCAGCTATTTGAACACTGGGGTTACACGATCATTACTGCTAAGAAGTTTCAGAACAGCCTTAATAGCACAGAGAGGCCCTGCCTCAAAATGAAAACCAAACAAAAACCAGAAATATCTCAGAAAATGTGAAATTTCTTAGAAAAACAATCTTAGAGTACATGGTTTTTCAAGAGATGTGGATCATTATAAAATAAATTTTTGCAGGGAAATCAATGATAAAATTACTTATTTCGTGGGAATTCAACAATATACATGTAGAAATGGAATGAAAATGTTACTGGGCCGAGAAGAAAACAGTAGCATTAAGAATGTGTTTACATTAAAATGAATACTTGAGCTGGGGCAGTGTGGTAAGCTGGGAGGACCAGCAGCACTCTGAAGGCTGAGGGAGGAAGGGGAAGAGTCCCAGGCTGGGCTGGGCTGCTCTGAGACTCTGCACTAAACACACAAAATAGTTAGCAGGACTATTATCATTCCATTCACTGTGGGAAAGTTTCAGCTTAGTTCTGTCATGGGAAACCATCCTCTTTTCACTGGATGTTAGGCAGAGCCCTGTGTGTCCCTGGCAGACACATTAAAGATTACCATCCCCTAAATGGGGAAGTGACTTCCTCACCAACACATACAGCAAGGCGCACAGAAAATGGCGGCTGGGACTCTACTCAGATAGCTCACTCTCTGGAGATTTCCCTGCAGACAGCCCTGTGCCTTAGGGGTAGGAATAAGCCCAGCAACAGACACAGATTTCCTTATGGTAGTACATGTGCTTTCCTGTGGTGTTTGAAATTTCGTATCCAGGAAGGAAAGTACTTTAAAGTGTAAACTGAGAAAAATGCTTGTGCTCGGGTGGTAAAAGTGGGGCTGGGGAGACAGCTAAATCAATAAATTGCTGGCCTTGTGGGCATGAGGCCCTGAGTGTCATTCACAGAGAGCATCATCAAGAAAATGAAGTTAAACTACAGCAGGAAAAGTAGTAGGTGTGGTGGGACATGCTTGTGTGTGAAGGTGGAGGCAAGCCTATCCCTGCAGTGTGCTGCCCAGCCAACCCAGCCTGCCTTGCGTGTTCCAGGCCAGTGAGAAACCTTGTCTAAGAAAAACTTCAGGGGGATGGCGCCTGAGGTACAACACCGGAGGCTGCCTTCTATCCCCTGACCACATGCATGTATGCATACAATTGCAGAAGCACACACATATGCACACGGGCACACAACCACACACTGGATAAACGATGTTTATACCTTCTGTACTTTAGAAGTAGTCATTGTGTTCCGTTTCTGGGCAATGAAGTAGAAGGACAAATGGAATCTACTCTCATGCTCTGTGCATGCCTGTGTGCATATGTGTGTGTGTGTTTGCACACAGAGCTCCACCATCTCTATCTAATAAGGCTGCTTTATGTTAGCCTTAGACTGGGATTGGTCTCCAATCTCGGGTTTACATTTGATATACCTAAGATGTCAAGGTTTATGTACCAGGAAAATATACTGAAGTGAAAAAACACTGCTTTATCTCCAGAGGTAAGGTCCCTTCAAGTCCAGGTCACAGCCAATGTTCCCTCCCACCCAAACATAGACTCCACTGGGCCCAAGACTCTCACTGATGTAGTCCCCATTATGGCCAGGAGGTGGCATTCAAACTACATGCCTACATTTATTTTCTTTAAAGGGGCTGATGTTTTATGGAATAGCAATGCGTTTTCAGTGTGTTTGGAAACTTGATACAATACTAGAGCAGTTCCATTTATGGATTGCAGCAACTGAAGTGCTCCACAACTCACTTCATCCTCCCTGAGTGTAAAGTGGGCAGTGCACACGGGATACAGAGTGGTGCTCTGTAGAGAATATGAATGTGGTGGTCACCTTGAATCCCCTGACACTGGAATGGATGGATTTCCTAGACTTTCCATCTCCTCTCCAGGAGGCTGTGGTACAGTCCCCAGATCGCTGCCTCCCAGGCAAGTTGTATCCTGGTCAGTCACTGCCATTGTGTTGCACCATGCCTGCTGGGGACTTCCAAGAGCAACCTGGTGTTTGTGGTGTGGTTGCCATGTACTTTTCCATGAATATGGTCTGCATATGGTTTAGATGTAATATGTATTCACCCTTACGATTTAGACCAAGCTTGGGGTCCCTTCTCTGTTGCACGAATGTTTCCAAAGTATTTCCTTTACCTCACCCTCATTTTGGAGCCACTAACTAGATACTGAAAGAGAAATTATCCCCTGAGCCCTACAAGAAGAGATAACACAGAAGAAAAGAAGCAGGAACCCCAAGTCCCTTGACAGCCACAGGACATTGACTGAGCTACTGTTCTATTGCTGGGAAGAGGCGCTGTGCTGAAGAGAATTTACAGAACAAAGCATTAAATTGGGAGCTTGCTTTCAGTGTCAGAGGGTTAGTCCAGTACCATCACTGTGGGCAGCATGGCAGCAGGCAGCCTGGCAGGGCACTGTAGCAGAAACTGAGAGTTTACATCCTGATCACAGGCAGGAGGCAGAGGGCTTTTGAGTCATCAGAACTCACACCCAGTGACAAACCTCGTCCAATAGGGCCACACATCCTAATCTTTCTTAAACCATCCACCATTGGGATTGAAACATTCACCAAAAGAGGCGTATGGAGATCATCCTCATTCAAACTACCACCGTCCTATAAGGGATTTCCTCTGCCCCATCAAGCTGCAGAGGGAGAATTGTGGTTGGCTGAGTACTCATAAGTGCATAGACTAGAATCGGTTCCAAGATGTCAGTCATTAATAGAAGAGACTACTGTGTGACATTTGGGGAGAGCAGGAGGCCATTCAAGTTACTTGTCGGAAATAATGTGCTCTTCAGAATACAGTAGTCCCCTTTTGGTTCTCTTCATGGATACTGAAACTGTATACTGAAACTGTAAAGGCCTTGAGCACACAGGAATTATACAAGATTTAGTGAACGTACACACACACACACACACACACACACACAAACATACATACACACACACACACTTTCTTCAGCCATGTCATCAATTTATTTCTGTGAATTAGTAGTTTATGGTGGGCCAGGCATCATCATTCTAACCCCACATCTACATGTCTCACACAATTCCTTTTTCCCTTCTTTGATCTGCTCAAGTGGATTCCCATGGAAACCATTCAAAGAGACTGCCTTAAACTGTCTGGTCCACAAAGAAAAACAAATGCTGCCCTGGGAAACCAAGGAAAATTTGGCCCATCCTTCCCATAGTGATAGCTATAAGGCCACACCCTGCTCCTGGCTATATCTCCCTTACAGAGGGGAGGGAGGATAAACCTTGTGTGGTGTCTGTCTTGGAAGTTATCCTGGGTGCGGAATAGATTTTTTTCTGATTCTGCTTTCCATGTGATAGTGCAGTTAACATGTCTCCATACTTAACCAAGTATGGATGATCTATAAGAAAGCAATTTGTTTAAGGAGGACATTGAGGTTACACCAAGCACGTGACTTCCCTTTCCCACACTGTGGAACTAGAACCAGAGCTACAGGACACAGAGAGGAAGAGGAACCACGTCTTCAAAGACAAAGACAGGCAGAGGGGTCTAGTCTGAGCATGTAACTCTCCTGATTTCAGGAAATGCTCACCACAGGTTTCTCACATAGCAGTCCCCTCCTCTCAGCTCTCCCCGTGGGTAGTCTGATAGCAAAAAGACACTCTTCTCCATTGCTGGAGAGAATGCAACTGTTCTCCAAGCCTATGGATGGGTCTTATGCTAGTGAAAACCTCAAGCGTGCATTCTGGGGACCTGGGATCTTTCTTCTAAGGATCCATCCCAAAGAACACAGAAGGGGACACAAAGACTGTCAGAGCAACACTGTAGAACTCCAAGAGAACTATGAAAATCGTCTGTGGGAAGGAAAGAGGGACAGCTTGATCTCAGGTGTATCTAGGACTGCTTTCCACTGCTTCCTGACAGTTTACCCATATAACACAATACTCCAAGATCCGTGGTAAT